TTTATTGGTGAAACTGGTGTTATGTCATCATCATCATCAAGCTGAGGTTCATCATCATCATCAAGTTGAGGTTCATCATCATCAAGTTGAGGTTCATCGTTCATTTCGTCATCTTGATTACTATTTTCATCATGATCTGATGTTTTTCGTAATTCTTTATTTTCAACGAAAATCGAAACTTCATCAGACAAATGTTGTGTTAAATCAAGAACAAGTGACATTGGAGAAATTGATGTTGAATCGTCAATTGACGACATTTCTAAAAATAGAGAAGATATATATGAAACTCAAATGACTAAGAAATTATTTAAATAAAGGAAGTAAAAATGAAAAGTATGAAAAAAGTTGTCTTTTATGACAATAATCAACCATTCAAATAAAAATCAAGACGTTAATAATCAGACATTCCTGACCTCTACTTAAATTTTTTTTTTAAATGATAAATTTATAATTAAGAATTTTTTTTCGAAATAATTTTATTTTCTTTTCTTTTTTTCAAAAATATTTCTTTCTATTATTATTATTCACACCAATCTTTTATCAACTTGTTGTCTATCTTTCGATATTTCGTATGGTGAAAAGAGAAAAAAAAATGTTTGTCTGATGCAATACTATTGCAATTACTCCTATTTTTTCGTTTAATGTCTCATTGCGTAAATAACTACATTTATATATATAAATATATTATTAATTATAGATAATTTCATTCATTCATTTACTTAACTAAATACAATGAGTAAGACAGGAGCAAATTTTGGAGGTACTGTTGGTTGGGATGAACAGACTGTTATAGGTAAATATTTTTATTTTTGATATAAAATTAATTAAAAATATTCGTAATTTTTATTTTAAAGGTAAACGTGCACCACGACCCGGAGAATTGAAATCTGAGTCAGCTATTGCAGCTGCTCAACGTGCTGGTGTTGCTATAGATACATCAAAGAAATACGAGGCTGGACATAATAAACAACATGAAGCAGCTAAAAATACAGCTGTTTTAGATCGTGAAACCGAAGAATTACATCATGATAGAGTCAATACAGATGTTGCACGTGCTATTCAACAAGCACGTAATGCAAAAGAATGGACACAAGCTGACTTAGCAAGACATATTAATGAAAAACAACAAGTTGTTAATGAATATGAACAATCGAAAGCTATACCAAATCAACAAGTTTTAAGTAAAATGGAAAGAGCTTTAGGTGTTAAATTACGTGGAAAAGATATTGGTCAACCATTTAGCACTGGACCAAAGAAGAAGTGAACAATGGTTTTGTTTTTCTCATTATTCTTGACGTAACAACATTTAAACTTTTCTCTACTTTTTTTCGCTCATCTTGTATTATTATCCATATTTCTTTGCTTATAAGCTATGATTATAATTTCTTCTTTTTTTTTCAATTTTTAAAATTTAAATAAAAATAAAACATCAGGAAACAAAAATAATGATTTTATTTAATTTAATTAATAATGATGATTAACTTTTGTTTTTTTTTTTCTTCATATCAAATATTCATCTTTGTAGATGTATCAATTAATTAGATTTGTTTAATTTGTGTTAGGTTATTTTAATGATACATTCTTATTAAGGCATGTTTATATAAATTTGATTGTTCGATTAGAAAAAAAAAGACTTAACTATTGTTATATATACATATAAATACATTTTAGTCATTCAATTATATTTGATTTATATTATTTAAAATATGGATCAAGCCGATGATTTAAAAGCATTTGAACGTCGTATGATTGAAATCATATCTTCTCTTCAACCATCAATATGGCGTTGGCGTTTTATATTATTAATTCTTGTTTTATTTGCTCTTATTACATTTTATGCCTTAATAACTGATGTATCATTAACATTATCATCATTATCAACATTATCAATGACAACATCTTCTATAAGAAGTAATATAAAGAATGATAAATCTTATATATCAATATTTTTGTTAAATTTATTTCGAAAAGAAATTTATTTTTCTTTTTCATTTGGTTTATTAATCTTTGCATTTTTATTTGGTATACATCGTAAAATGTTTGCATCATCAATAATAATAGCAAGATTTCATTATATACTTAATGATTATAATATGTCATGTGATTCTGATGGTCGATTAATAATAAAACCAAGACCAACAACATATATTAGTGGAGGATTATAATAATTTCTCTCTCTCAAATATTTTTGTTCCTTCTGATTTTAAGCAACATAAAATATGTATTAATGTGATATTGTATTCTTATGATTATTATTATTATTTTGTTTTTTTTTTGTTTGCCCATTTATATAGAAATTATTTTGATTCTATTTATTCAGATTGTTTCTTGCTTTGATAGTTTTTTTGTTATGTTTTTTATTATGAAAAAAAAAATATATATATATAAATGTTGGTATTATTTCAATAACAAATGATATATGTATCATGGATATTATAAAGTAGAAATTTATCTTATATAATATGATTTAATAATTTATTTATTATTTTGAAAAAATAAATATCGAATTCGAACGACAGAATTATTGAAAATTTCGAAAAATTATTAAATTAAATATTTGTATGATTGTGAAAGAAGAACAAATTTAATTTAAGTAAGTAATGAAATTACAAATGAGAGGGAAAAAAAACATAAACAGTTGACTTTATCTGAGAAAATAATGACATCTATTAAAATTATAGGCACGTACCGAACTCGAACTCTAATTCGATATTCGAATACAGACATTGTAACGTGTATGGATATAGATCTTCAGTTTTTGGATTATTTATTTTACTGAGTGGAGATCTACTGTAGCTAAGTCGTTTTAATTTACTTTTGATTATTTTTTATTAAGTAATTGAAAATGACTGCATTCAAGATCGAACTGGAACGTACGAGTTCAGTGCATGCCTATAGAATCATAAAAGGAAAATATTTTTTGTAAGGAAAGTGACACGAAATCTTGATAATTAGGTGTATAACTATGAAAAAAATCCCTATGACTGTGTTTTTTATTATTGAGTTACGTTTTGCTAATAGACAATTGGTAAGAATATTATGTGAATGGATGAGATCTAATTTTTCAAATGTAATAAGTGAAGAAAAAGAAATGCTTAGATATACATAGTATTTTATATATCTTTGTATGAGTATTTTGATAAAAATATAATAAAATTTTTTTCTAAAGTCACTTAGAAAAGAATCCAAGATCAATAAACTTTCTCTATAAGAAAGAATTAATAAAAAATTTTAAATCTTTATTATAATAATGAATCTATTTTTTTTTTCTTGCTAGACAGTTTTCTTAATGGATATGGCTCAATATGTCGTTATTATTCGGTTATATGAATCTATAGATTCAATGAGGTGTAACAACTTAAATGGTATGTCTTTCATCTAATTGAATGGCTATCGCAGCTTTTTGGCGTTACGATATAATATATTAATTGAATTATTGAAATACAATCTGTGTTAACAGCTTTGTTATTATGTATGAGAAAATTGAAATGCGTTGCAAAACGAAATATGAAAACAATTTTTTCTCATATATATATATATAGACTTTGAAGATTGATATTGATCTGCGAATAAGTTAATTGGTAAATAAAATATTTATATTATTTTGTTAACAAATTTAACACTCCGACTTTAAAATGCATGATAATTGTTTATTATCAGTTTGATAAATATATTTCTGATGTTATTTTGGCATTGTTCTCTATTTAGAACGATGATAAACAAACATATAGTTTATTTAATAAATGTTATCTTTTCTTCTTTTTATAACAAATTGAAAAATTTGCTCAATATATTTCTCTTCAACAATATTAACTATATTTAAATATAACTTTGTAAAATTATATTTGTTGTTGAATTCTGATTGATAAAAATAAAATTTTTTCTTAATTATGAAATTAAATTATTTAATATTGTGAAGAAAATTTCGAATATTATATTTAGATTAATCTGTTATAAAAATTTTCTTTGATATGATATTAAAATGAGTTCAAATGAGTTAATTGATCGAAAATATTATAGTTTATATATTGGAAATTTATCTGCTGATATACGTCGAAAAGAATTATGTCAATATCTTGAACATTTTGGTCAAGTTGATGAATGTCAATTATTCGAAGCAAATCATCGACGTTGGACTTGTTTTGCTTTTATATTAATGCGTACACCAGATTCAATAAATCAATTAATGTCAACTCGACCACATTTTCTTGATAATCGACGGTTAGTTTGTTTGATATAATAAATAAATTCTAATATTTTTTTTTAAATCTTTTATTTAATTTAATTAGATTATATATAAAACGAGCATTACCTGATCAATGTTCAAATAAAATTGAACATTTTTTAACAAGTGAAAATGTTTTAATTCAATTTAAAAATTCAGAAAATCAAGAAATAAATGAACCTGATTTTAATGAAGAAAATATTCGAAATTATTTTCAAACATATGGAAATATACTTAATTTATATTTATTAAAAAATAATCGATGTGTTATTGAATATAGCGATTACGGTAAATTTATTGAAATAGTTTCTTTTTTAATAATTTGATTTTTGTCGTTAATTTTTAAATTTCTATTGAGTAATTCTCTCTTTATAATATAATATGAAGTATATTTTTCAATTGTCTTAGAAGAAAATTTCGAGTCTGCAAAAAAAAAATACTTATAATGATGATTCTATGAAATTCTTCTATGTAATAACAATAACTTGAGTCTCTCAATGACAAAACATATTAGTTCATGAAAGAGTTTTATTTCGTCATCATTTCAATGGCTCGAAAATGTAACTAGTCATTATTATGAAGCCGAAGAACATTCATACAAAAAAAAATACAAGGCAAAGATTATTTCGCAAAAGAAATTCGAAATTAACACATATATATCTATGGCACATTATTTATGAGACAGACATTTGAGTTATCTCAAGTGTAGGCTGCATTTTGGAGAATCATCATTAATATTGAAAATATTCGGCTTTTTTGCTGCATCATGTAAATACAATTATACTAACGATTGTATTTGATTTAAAACTACAACTAGAAAAACATGGTCTCAAAAGGGAATCCATTCGACTAATAATCTCTGTTTGAGTTCATAAATAGGACTTTCGCCAACATACTCCCTGGAGTTTCGCCATTGGCGAAATCCCGAAATTCCATAAAAACTCTGAAAGAGTTCGTGCCATTAGACCTTTCTTCGCGAGTTACAGTCATTTTACTGAACTTTCAGCCTAATAATAGTTCTCATGATCTTTATGGTATTCTGAAAATTTCAGCTCAAACGGATGATTTCTTCTTGAGATATCCTATGTCTAAAAACTGGACTATTTTTTAAGCTCTTACGTGAAAATAATGTTTTTTATAAATGTGTTATCTCATAAGGAAAACATCCGTTTGAGCTGAAACTTTCAGAATACCGTAAGGGCTATGAGAGCTATTGTTAGGCTGAAAGTTCAGTACAATGGCTATAACTCGAGAAGACGGATCTAATAGCACGAATCCTTTTAAAATTTTTACTTAGAGAGCTGACCAAAAGTTCTGGCCATGGCGTTTAAAAGACCTTGCCGGATAAGGTGATCTATTTAGAAATGAAAAACCAACTGTACCATGTTGTATAGTTTTTTGAAGTGCGTTGAATGATATATAGTAAATTCTGTTTTCATAAGACTTTGAAGGAACTAGAATCAATTTATTGATAGACGACTATGCACTCATAACTAAGCATAATAAGTTACTGAATATTGTGGTCCTTGACATAAGTCGAAAGTATTTGTAAAATATTTCTTTCTCAAATACGATTTTGTAGAGTTTTTAATGGGTTATAACTTCATATATACGTAGCATCTCCGGTCATGTTGTACGTGTGTAGCCGTCTATCAGTAAATTAGCCCTAGTTCCTTCAAGGTTTTATGAAAACAAGATTTACTATATATCATTCAATGCACCTCAAAGAGCTCTACAAAATCGAATATTTAGTTTTTCATTTCTGAATAGGTCACTTTATTCGACAAGGTCCTTTAAACGCTGTAGTCAGAACTTTTGGTCAATCTTAAGTATCCACAGTATGAATGCTACCTATGAGCACAAATGGAGATTATCAGTCGAATGAGTTTCCTCGTTAGATAATTTTAAAGTTAATGTAAAAAATATATATGTTCTATATTTGAAAAATTTAGATTCAGTCGATTGTATAATTCTTGATTCACCTCATTATTTTAATTCTCATGAACTTCATATTGATAAATATTATTCAACAGAACAATTAAAACAACTCGATAGAATGTTTATACATAATCATGAATTACCATTACCAGGTGCTGGTGAAGATGATGAACATGTTGGACAATTTTTACATTCACGTCGTTATCTTAATATGCGTATACGTTTATTAAATGATTCAATATTATCAGTAAAAATTTCCAATGAAATTAAATTAGAAACAATTCATAGAGGTTTTTTATTAACAATTAATCGAAGAAAAGAATTACTTGAACAAATAAAAGAATTAAATAAACAATGTCAAATATTACATGAAAAAAATCAAACAATTAAAGAAAATAATCAAAATAGATTTCAATTTAATAATAAACTTGAAAAAATTTATCAACAACAAATTCATGATGAACAAAATAAACAAAATGAATGGAGAGAAAAAATTGAATTACTTCAAGAACAATCTTAATTTCTTTGATTTATTTGTTATTGTTCGATTGTTTATCAGTTCATTGAGCATTTAATTCAATTGTTGTCTTAATTGTTTGTCAGATATATACATATTTATTTTGAAAATGAGGTATTTTTCATTATTAAATCTATCGTTTAAAGTTCAATACTTAGGAAAAAAAAGTCGTTTGAAAACAATGATTTTTCACTCGTTGTGAATTTCTTGCCATATTGAAATGCAAGAAGATCATCACTTAGTAAAGAATCATTTGATAAATATCTCAAAGAAATTTTCGAAAATTTCTAAAGCTTTTGCTTGATTTCTTCTAGAAGAATTCTTAATGTACTTAAATTTAAGTAAAAACTAGCAAATTTAAATAGTTTCGAGATTTGTTATTTTCGTTAGATTAAGGACTACTTTTATCAGCGATATTGTTTAACTCGTATGCTCATATATTTATTTATCCTACTAAGCTGATAACAAGGAGTAGTATTTTATAGTAAATTGTAGTGGCAGATTTAGATGGGAACGCTGGGAGGCAGGCTTCGAAAACGGACCGCTTTTTTATGGCTCGGACCCGAAAGAAACTTCGTTCACAAAGATTTTTTTCTCAATAGACAGTTATTCCATATTTTTCGGCTTTTATAAAAAGTGATGATCAAGGAGGATAGCGTGGAGAAGCTTTCCCGCATCCTCCCTTAGGGAGGAGTCAAATCTCAGAAAAAGTTATGTCAAAAAAAGGATAAAATCATCGGGCCGGACAGCCCGACAGAGAAGGTGGCCCGCTTGGCCCAACAAAATATTTCTTTAGGCCGGGCCGGGCGACCCGTTTCAAAGTCTGCTGAGAGTAATTGTCTCTCTTTTCCGAAATATTTTTTCATTTTTCTTAGTAGAAAACACCCAAAAATTAGTCGATACGATCTCTCTAATGGACTTGAAAACACGTTTTTGGTGACCATGAAAGCTTCCATTCCTCAAAAACCTTAGATTCATCATTGGTAAATTGAAGAGACGAAAAAAAATCCGAGAAACTCTTAGATATTTATTAGTCTTGAACAACAGTATCATTAATAAAGTGACTGCGGTTTTAGAATGATTCAACGACACATTTACCAATACAGAAAATATTCAAAAAAGAAGAATTAATTTTTTTGTTAACTATAAGAGTTTGATTAATGATTGTCATAAATCATGAGAATCAATTAAATTTCATATAGTTTTCAAAATCTTCTATTGTTTTCTCGGACAAGATCTTTTAACACTGTTGAAATCTAAACGATTTTATTCGAAAATAAAATTCCAAATTTTCAATCATTAACATAATTCTTATCAATATGATTATATCTTTTTTTTTCCATTCGTCTATCATTTGATTATATTAATTTTTCTTTATCTATGATTTCTTGTTTGTTTTTGTTTTGCATTCCAAAGATGTAGAATATATAATAAAAATTAAAAATAAAAAAAAAAAACAGTATTTTATATTATTCTAGACTGTTGAATTAATTGTTTTTTAATTAAAAAAAAAGAAAAGAAAAGGACATGGAAACAATTCTTAAACGTGATTTACGTCGAATATTTCAAAATAAATATGTTGTTTTTATGGGTGATTCAAATATGCGTTCTATTTATAAAGATTTTATACTACTTTTACAAGAAAATAAACTATTAAATGATTCTGATCGAAAAGCAGGTGGAAATAAAGAATCTATTTGTGGTAAATTTATTTCGAAATTAAATTTAAAATAAAAAAAAAAAAATTTTCTTTCAGGAGATATTTTACTTGAAGGTGGAATTTATAAAAATTTGGCAAGTGGTATTGAATATGAAGAAAAACGTGTATTTTTGGCTAATATATTTCTTGTTAAATTTATTTTTTTAACTCGGTAAATTTTTATGTAAATATATTTTATTTTTTAACAATCTTTCATTTTTTTTTGTTTTAGATGTCAAAATGATGTTACATCTCGAATATTTGAAGAATTTAAAACAGATTCAGAAAAAGCAGATCTTGTTGTTATAAATAGTACTTTATGGGATACTAGGTAATATTAAAATTGGATTGGTTATTATTATCAAATTTAAATCTTTATCAATAGTCGATATGGAGAAAATGGTGAAAAAGATTTTAAAAGAAATCTTCCATTATGTTTTGATAATTTACGTGCTGCAACATCACCAACAACAATTATTTTATGGCTTACTGCTCTTCCTATATCAGCTGAACCAAATGCAGCTGTATTTGATGAAAAATGTATAGATTTCAATTCTTTATACAAAAAAACAAAAAGAATTTTTTTTTTTCTTTTACATTATTCTAAATAATATAGATCGACCAGAAAATAAATATTGGCGAACACAATTTCTTCATATAAATGCTTTTTCAGCTGAATTAGCTAAAAAGAAAAATTGTGAAGTACTTGATGCACATTATTTATTTCGACAACATCCAGAATTACGAGATACTGATGGATGTCATTGGAATGCAAATGGTCATCGATTAATTACATCTTATATGTTAGTATATCGAAAATTTTAAATAATCAAATGCAAAAATTTTTTTGTTTGTTTGTTTTTTTATTTTTTAGTGCACAAACTGTATCTCTTATTTGGCATGTACCCTATATTGATCGTAATCCTGTTGATCATAAAGAACGTGAACTTCATCGTGTATGTTATCGTATAATTAATAGTGAAAATGAAAATTCAATTATGCGTACACTTAATGGAGAAAACAGTCAAGGTATAACTGATTTTGATTTAAATACATATCTTGCTACACATATTCCAATATCAAATGAAACTTCTAATGAACAAAATTCAGATAGAATTGGTGCTATGATTGGAAAATTGAATGAAACAGATCGACGTATTCTTAATCTTATGGATTATTATGAAAAGCAATGAAATATATATATCAAATAAAATAGTTTTGTTTGCATAAATTTGATTTTTTTCTATGTGCAATAAAATTAGGGAGAATTCGAACATTGTAAATCGATTCATCGAACTTTTCAATATCTTATATAAAATCAAAGGACATATTGATATAATCATTGAAAAATGATGGACATTACCAATTATTTTTTGAAGAGTAGATAATATGTTTTGATAACGTCAATATTTTATGTTTTTCAGGGACTAAATTGCTTTCATAAAAAATCTGGTATAGTACCTCTAGTCATATGAAGACTACAAAGAGAAATCCGATCCAAAATAAAAAAGGCAGGTTACCATTTTTCGAATAACTTTTGATAGGAACGAGATAGAGAGCTGCGGTTTTCACCATTCAAAAGAGCGGTGTGTGGACCATCGATCGGTATAAAACTCATTAGGACGAAGGATGCTTTCTTTATAAATGCCTTTGGATCAACACTTTTACTTTGACTATTTTCATCAATTTTCACGAGAATCTCAACTCACCTTTTTTTTGCTATAAAATTATCACATATTTCGTTACTTCTCAGCCTTTTATTCTAAGCGAATTTTAAAAAAACAAATGTTCATTTTATAGCGAAAAAGAGGTGATTTCAGCTACATTTTGACATAATTTATGTTGAGGTTATTGTGAAAATTGATGGAAATACTCAAAGAAAAAGTGTTGATCCAAAAATATCTATAAAAAAAAGAGCATCTTTCGTCTTAATGAGTTCTATACCAATCGATGGCCCAGACATCGCTCTTTCGAATGACGAAAACCGCAGCTCTCCATCTCGTTCCTATCAAAAGTTATTCGAAAAATGGTAACCTGCCTATTATTTTGGATCGGATAATAGTAGTTCATATTGTCATCTGTTATTGCTATCGATATCACCTATTTTACTTTAATTATTCCAATTAATCGATATATTCAACGTAAGTCTTCAACCTTTTCAATGACAAAAGCAAGCATCACTATTTTTTTCGTACCCTTAAGAGTTCTTTACGTGAGACATAGAATCAATATATTACAAATAAGAAAATATTTGAGGAAGATATCTAATTATGGTGCACACTTTCATTATAGTGTTGAGCTGAATCATTCGATAGCGATACATTAATCATTCATTTAGTCTTTTCTCATCAAATTAAGCTCAATAATGTCTCATTTTAAAGAATAATATTTGTCGGCAGAAGCAAATCATTATGTAATGTAATTTGTGTCATCTTCGTTGTCAAACAGTACACATATGAAATTTGTAATATATGTATATATATAGTCAGTTTATCATCTTTTGGCCGCAACTTTATAACCGATATTCAACATTATAGTTTGAGGCATGAATTCGTTAATGATTCTTGAAGAAAATTGAAATGTCTGTCCAGCTGTTGTTTTAAGACTGATCTATCATTGTGATATGGAAAAAGATATCACGAAGAGACTGGCACATGAGAACAGTAACTAACGATATGTTCACAAGTAAAGAGAACAGAGTAAGATGCTCAGTCATATAAGGTTTGGCTATACGAATTCAATAATCAATCGTAAAAAATTAAAAAATAAAAGAAGTAACTATGCATCAGACTTAAACGAATGTTCTATCCTGTAGTTATTCTTCTGTCATACTTGGAATCATGAACATCTAATTTCATATGTTGTTCAGATATTCACATTCGATATAAACTTTGAATGTGTTCCACTTGTTTATCAAATTGTACATCACGTTTCTCTATACAGCATCAGTATTCTTATTCATAATGATTTGTAAAGAGAATCGATGAATTAGACCGATGATTGTTTTTGAAAATGTCGTCGAAACACAACATCATACTATTTTGCCATCTATGTCGAACAATTACTCAGTGTTTAATTCAATCTAGCTTGAAAAAGTGAATAGTGTTACCATTTCGAGTTTCAACAAGCCATTGGGTTCTATTAACTTATGAAACTAAAAAACCTTTTTTTTAAATCAGTAGTAGGAGATCAAAATTCCATTTTTTTCATCCGCTCAGAAACCGAGACATCGTTCCTTAAAGATCGAAACCATTCATAGTTCCAGTATCATCTCGGAAACTACGATCTATGATGATTATGTTGCTCTCTTCAAGCCAGATCAACATGTCATTTCTGCTTTTTTTTTCTGAGAAATATTTCCAAATAGATGGGTCATTATTATCTTTATTTTCAAAAAAAAAAAAAAAAGAATCAATAATGTAACTTGTGGTACTAGTCACTACTGTGTGAGCTTCAACATGAATTGAGTCTTGTACAAATTGTATGTAACTCGATAGAATGCGTTATTAGTCGACTTTTGACAGTAAATAGAAGAAACTAGAAAAATAATTCTTAGAGATTACTTAAAAAGTCTTAAATAAAATTTTCGATTAAGATTTGTTAGTTTTCAACAAACTCATAGAACAATCAGTTCTGCAGATTTCAACACATGTACTGAAAACTATCAAAATAATATGTAGAATGTTGAGCAACTAATTAAACTGTTATATTCTTCTCAAATGTGTAAAAAAAAAAAAGAGAAAAAAGATTGCTAGACTTAAATATAAACATTTTGCTAGATAAAAAATTTCATCTCTTCATTACATTTATGTTAATCATGTATTTAAGTCTAATGATTTAAGCATTAATTGAATTTTATTAAAATTTTATAATCGATCTCAATCATTAAACTACTGATAGAGGAGAAAAAAACAACATATCATTGGCAATACAATACATTCAATGACGTTGACTACGGATAAGCTTTTCTTTTCCTCGCAATTTCTGTTACATATTGATCAATTATTTCTACACGACTTATGGGACTGAAAACAATATACTTTAATACAAATCGCTTCAGTAATCCTTTCAAAACTACATAAAACAAATGAGATATTGTATGTTTATTCAGTAGATAGAATAACAACAGAAGCGTATGATTACTCCATCTTAGACGAAGTTTACAGAACGAGAGAAAGAGCAAAACCAACAAGCTTTCATGGAACAGAAATGTTTAAAAAAAAGATACTAAGTAGATAATCAAATTGATCTAATAATAACAAAATTATTTAATGTATTGTAAACGTAAAATTGAAGCAGCTAGTTGTTCTCTGTACCAGATATATTGTAATGGTCGATATCAGTTAAAGGATACAGATCATTGAAGTTGAAAAATTTTTTGATATATTCAAGTTCAACTCGAGACTCTCAAACCAGGTTTGAATCTTATCAGACGTCAGTAACATTTACATGATTATACGCACATGAATGCTTATTTGAGCGGATAAATGGTTTCTTACAAAATAAGAAAAACGCAGAAAAAAAGTGATTTTTTCACAAAAATTAATAGAAAAATTGACTCAACATTTCAAGTAGATTACTTACAACTTCTGAAGGAGTAACTCTCAAAACTTTGGTTTTTGCATAGTTTTGTAGGTTTTCGACTAACAGTTCGAATGCATACCTAATCATAAAAAATACAGTGTAATCACCTTACGGAGTACGTTGATTTGAAAAAGACTAGGTTAAATTATCTTATATTATACAGTTCGATTCGTCTTCATCCTCTCTTTCGAACAGTGAAAACCGCAGCTGTCTATTTTGTTCCTATGAAAATTTATTCGCGATCAAAGACTGTCGATTCATTCATATATAAACGTCTACTAGAGAAGAATTCATATTGTTATAATATTTTGAACTAGATAAGTACTAAAAACGTTAATTATCGTCGTAGATTTATTAAAATATGAAAGATAAAATGAACATTGAATATAACGTTGTATCTTTTTTAATAATGGATTTAATTTAGTCATCTAAACAAAGATGAATTTTATAATACTGATGCTATATTTCTCCATTCAAGTGAACTATAAAATAAGACTAAACGGGTTTTTTTCTATTCTAATTTTTACGATTAATACAGATTCTTTATTCGATATAAAGATGAAGAGGTCAACATTCAACTTAAGAACATGTCATCATCTCAGAAGATGATGTTTTTGACATTTGTTAATAAGCTAGCATGGTATATATTCAAAAATTATCACTGATAAAAATTATCTTTCCATGGAATCATTTTTTGAATGATCTTGTTAATAATATTATCAGTCTTTGAATTAATTCATGTTATAATTAAAGTAGCAAGTTCAAAGATAGAATGATTCACAAATGGTTTTTCTAGGTCAATTCTCGTCGTTCCCGTTACATCCATAAAAAAATTATAGAATATATATATATATAGTTCAGAAGTCTATTATTAACTGGAACTATCTTAAAAATAATATGAAGATAAACTTATACTTCTATAGTTGTAAAAGATTGATCTCGTCTTATTTTTGAAAGTATTATTAAAACGTCTTTCTTTTTTTAATATCGTTTCGTAAAGTTATTACAGAGCCAATGTATTCATGTGATAGGTCATATTGAAAAATTTCTAAATTTAAATATTTTTCCTACAAATTATTTATCTTCTCTTACAATTTTATTTTCTTTATTATTATATAATTTTCTCAACAATGATATTTAACTTTTAATTCAATATTATCAATAGAAGATTTTTTCAAAAAAAGAAACGGAATAATATATCGATAACTTACCAGTAACAATATACAAAGTAAATCATTTTCTTATTCAAAACTATTTTTTCGAACAAGGATGAAATTTCAATGTATTTGTACAAATATACAATACAGATACATTAAATTTATTTTGAACACACAAATAATTCATTAATCCACATCATATTATTTGAAAATAAAATGATTACTTTAAAAATTAATTCAACGAACAGGAGGACTATCGACAAAAGTGACATTGACCTTGAATAGACAACAAATGAAACAAAAAAAAAGAACAAATATACTTTAAAGAAAAAAAAAAGAAGAAGAAATCATCATTCTGTTCGTTTTGTTATCAATAATGTTACCATCTAGTTATTTTTTAATTACATTACTGACAATTCTTCAACTCAAAAATCAGATAATTAATTCATGTAATCATAATGCACCATGTGGTTGTTCAAATAAATCTCGACTAGATTCAAAAATTGTCGGTGGACAATATGCTAGAATTGAAACATGGAGTTGGGTTGTGTCACTTCATATTCAAAATAGATTTCGATGTGCAGGATCGATTATATCAAATTCATGGATTTTAACAGCAGCACATTGTTTTTCAATAATAAACAATTTAGGAGATAATATCTTTCGCATTCATCCTTCTGATATTACAGTACATGCTGGTTCAAATCATCGATCTGAAAAAAATCAATTAAGAAAAGTAACTGATATTATTTTTCATCCTAATTTTGATCAATCAAATTTTATCAATGATATTGCTTTGCTCAAACTATCGTTACCTCTTCATATGACTGATAATATTTTAACCAAAATATGTTTACCAAATATATCTTTGAAAGAATATCCACCTGTAGATTCTTCAGTAAGTATATCATATAAACGATTAAATCATATGTTTGGATTTTTTAAAATTTTCAGCTTGTTGCAGTTGGTTGGGGTAGACTCTGGGAAAAAGGTCCAGAATCTTCAACACTTCAACAAGTTATATTGAAAACAATTGATTATCAGAATTTCACTTGTTATCCATTGATCTATGATCGATTCAAACAATTCTGTGCTGGTGTTGAAAACAGTACAAAAGGTAAACAATAAAAGAATAATTCATTAATAAAAAAACAAATAAAATATTTTATTTTTATAGATACATGTCAAGGTGATTCTGGTGGTCCTCTTATGATGTTTACATCAAGTAAACAATGGGTTATTGTTGGTTTAACATCGTTTGGACACGGATGTGCACAACCAGGATTTTCAGGTGTATATACACGTATAACAACTTATTTAGATTGGATAAATTTGTTCGTCAACAATGCAAATGATTCAATACATCCTTATTCATTAATATCAAACAGTCCATTTGATGATGATGATATCGAATGGCGAAATAATATTTCCTGTCATCATTCGATGTCTTTATATTTATCTCTAGTGATATCAATATTGTTATATTTAATCACGATGTATTCTTGAAATTAAAATTCTATTCAAATTTTTTGTCATTTAGTTTGCACTACAATGAAAATCATTTTCTTCATTCGCGTATTTATATATTCAAGAAAAAGAAGTATACAAAAAAAAAAGCTTTCTTCATACATAAACATAGACTGCAAAAAGAAACAATGACTAAAATATTGATAGAAAAAAAAAAAACAAACAAACAAATGATATTAAAAGAAAAAGGTTAGAATCATCTTTTTAGGTCCTTCTCTTTATATTCATATTTATTTTTTAATGAACGTAATTCATCTTCAAGTAAACGAATTCGATTATCTTTTAATAACATAAGTTCACGTAATGATTGCACTTCTTCTTGTTGTTTTAAAAATGCTTGACGATACTAAAAACAAAAAAAAAACATATTAAAATTAATATATATTCAAAGTATAGAAATTTTTTTTACTACATCAATTCCATTTGCTGGTTGTTGAACAGATGAATGATGTCCGTTAGCATTAGTCTGATGTGACATTTGCTGTTGTTGTGGTTGTTGATCTGATGTATCAACACTCCATACTTTTTTCTTAACTTCAACATTACGTCGATTTTGATTATTATTATGTATTGGTGATTGAGATGGTCGTTGTTGTTGTTGACTAATTTTATTTTGAAATTTATCTCTGAACAAAAGAAGAAAAAAAATATGAAAAAGTTAAATTTAAATCAAATGAAAAAACTTGCACAGCAAATAACAAAGGGAAATAATTCGAAAAAAAAAGAGTACACTTCATTCCATGCTTGGCTACATTGCCAAACTACCTATCTGGTGTATTTGTATTCCGATCATAAATTATTGATTGAACTGATCGAGGACCAGTTTGTTGTAATGGTACAGAAACTGATGAAACATAAATAGGTTCTTCAAGAATTTGTGATGGTATTGGAGGTGGTGGTGGTCGTGGTCGTTTAAGAATTGAACCAGTTGGACGTTGTTGAGATAAATTCATTGATGAATATGTATTCGAAAGATTTTCAAGTGATGATGATGTATCATCATCATTTTTATTCTCTGACATCAATGATGAAAGATCAGGTGTCGATTGTGCATGAATAATTTTTTTTTCTGATGGAAAAGGCTTAAACGAAGAACGAAGTGTTTTGGAAGGATTACGATTCAATGATGTACTCGGTATAGTTGTTGATGTAACAACAACTGGTTGAGGTGAAGTGATTTTACGCTCTGGTGGCAATGGTGGTGGTGATGGCTGTGGAGGAGAAATAACTTCATCACTGGAAAGAATAAAATAGTGATGCAAAAAAAAAATAAACTATGATAAAATAATCAATTGGTAATGCATCTATAAGGTATATAAAAAGCTAGGAAGAATGTCGAACCTGGTGGTATCCAATACAACGCCACATGAACTTGTACGTCCTAAACGACGCCGAGTTGCAAACTGGCGTCGTTGTAAAACAGCTGGTTTCTTTTCTCCTTTTCTACTAATATGAATTAGGTAGTTTTTTTTTTAATCTATCAATTTATTATTCTAATATATTTTCCTAGAATATAATTCTTACCTAACATTATTAAATTCTGCACTTGTTGCTGGTACTTTTAATGATTCTATTTTTCTTAAACCTTTAGAATTCGATTGTTGTTGTTGTTGTTGTTGTAAATTTATTGTCAATTTTTCAATTGATACAGGTGATGGTGGTGATTGATCAATAAGATTTTGTTTAGGTGTAGGTGCAACTTCTGCAACAGGTGGTTGTATTGTACGTTGTGGTGTTCCACGATGAGATAGAATAGGTGTTGATGTTGTTGAATCAAGTGTTCGATATGTTGTAATTTTTGGCATATTTGTACCTTCAACACGATCTTTCATTGATACAAGTATTGGATCACGATCAATACCAGACATCCATTCCTCAGGTGATAATGCTGGATATGGACCTGGTGTATCTGGATAAATATCTAATTGAAATGCTTCAGCTTTACGTGGGACTTAAATTAAAAAAAAAACAAAGAAATAAGAAATTTAAACAACACAAAAAAAGAAATACAAACCAATCATAGAAATAGGTTCACATACAGATCCAGTAGCATATAATTTATAAAAACGCGTTATTTCATTACGTGTTACATCAAGTCCAATTTTTGGCATTACACCTAGCAAAAAAAATTTTTTTTTCTTGCATAAAATAAATCATTGTTTGTTTGAATTAATTTTACCAAGACAACGTTGTGGTGTAGAAGATTTATATTCAGAAAGAAAATATAAATATGGTTCGCCTTGATCACTCACTTCATAATAACGAATATTTCCATCACCCTAAAATAATTTATATATTGAATGATTAAAAAAAAAATGCTGTTTCGTTTTTTCTTTCTTACTTTTCCAGCTAAATAAACTGTACGTGTATCATGATCATAATATGGAATAAGAGCACCGGCACTAAAATCGACTGTTTCAACTGTTAATGGTTGTGATAAATCATTCTAAATAAAATATTTATTATTTAAAAAAAAAGAAAAAAAAAAAGATTAGTTAATCAATTTTATACAAGATTCCAAATAGCTATTTGTCGTTCAAATTGTTTTCCAAAACCTGTTGATAAAAGACGATTTGTATCGCCTAAAAAAACAAGTTTTGATGTTTTTGGACCTGGATGACCTATTCCTTTCTATGAATAGAAAAAAAAACAATAGAATTTTTTTTTTTGAGAAAATAAACTTCATTTTACTGCAATAATTCGACCAGTACGTGGTTCAATAACACGTATCTGTTTATCTTTACATGTTGTTGCAAATAATGAACCATTTCTATTCCATGCTATTGATTGTATAGCATCTGAATGGCATCGATAAACTTGTATTGGTTCAGCTTTTTCAACATTCCATAAAACAACTTGACGATCAAGTCCAGCACTTAATATAAGATTTTGTACTGTTGGATGCCATTCAATATAATCAACACGTCTTTGATGTCCATGTAAATCAACTTTCCATTGATATGTATCAGATTTTAAACCATCATTTGGTATATACCATACTTTAACTGTTCCATCATCTGAACATGAAGCTATTTCATTATCATTAAATGGATTAAATTTAAGATCAACTACTGGACCACGATGACCAGTTATACGTGGATGATCAACATCGACACGACCAACCTAAATCAAACATTTATTTGATAAAGAAGAAGTTAAATAGAAGAAAAAATTGACAAACTTCAGATAGCAGTAAAACAAGAAAACTACCACCACCACTTGTTTCAGTAACAATTGCTAAAAATTTTGAATTAACAGCACAAAAATTTCCATCATGTGCATTACGTGTTATAGCTATATTTTTATAACAATCTTGTTCACGATATGGTGAACCAAATACATGACGAAATTTTGAGATGCGAACTTTGAATGGCATCTAAATAAAATTAGAAGTTTTTTTCTTTTTAGAATTTAAATATTAAAATTATTATATAATAAAAATAATTATTTAATATAAAAATTTTTATGTAAAACAAACTACAAGATTTATATTCATTTTTTAAGTCAAAATCTTTGCTGTTTTTTTTTCTACTTACTTTCTTTTCTTATATTAATCTTTGACGTTCATTTTTTTTCTTTATTCACAAGCTTTCATAGATGCGTGTCCTAAGTGTATGTGGTATGCTAATCTGTCATGAGGCATGCGTGAGCTTCGAAGACGCTGTTCAACTTAGTGTGAATCATCATGAAAAGAGGGAGAGAGAGAGAGACTGCTTATTACACTTATATGCGTTGAGAAAAAGAAAAACGTTCTGTCTCGAGTTGATGATGTATAAAAAGTCTTACTCTGCTACTAATTCAATGTTAGAACAAGGAAAGTAGAAAGAAAAAAAAAAGAAGAAGAACGATAAAGCTTGAGGGATACAGATTGACGAGTTCAACCATGATCATCAATACAATACAGACAAATGAAGAATATTAAATAGTGTCCCGTTTGGTTCAGAAGTATTTATCATGAAGAATATTTATCAGACTGGCATAGATCCTATTCGATTTTCCTCTTCTTCTTTTTTTTTTGCTCTTTATTCTTACATAACTTATTCTTCTCATTTACTCTCTCTTTTTTTCTGTTCGACTAACTATATTCATACCAGGCATACTATTGAACATTATAAAAGCCAAAGAAATAATAGTTCCTATCTACCAAACGTTGAACAACAACAGAAGCACCGGTTTCTTTCTTTCTTTTTTTTTTTTTTTTGTATTCTGTCCTTCTTCCTTTTTTCTTTCTCATTTCTTTCTTGATGCCCTCATAATGTGATGTAGTAGGGTCAAGCATACATTCATAAGAGAAAAAAAAATAGTCAATCGTAAAAAAAAAGGAGGAAGATGATAATGAAAAGGACAGCGGCTTTGTCAAAAGAAAAAAACATTTAAATGAACAGAAAATGATTTCTTTTTCTCATATATACAAAAGTTTACATAAAATAACAAAAGACCTCCTGTTGTACACACCCTTTCATCAATTGTCGATTAACCTAAGTAAAAGAAATCTTAGAAAAAGTGTTTATAATAATCATACTTAAATGTTACAGATATGAAAAAAAAAATGTCTAATAAAACCAGCTATAAAGATTTGTTATTAATACGTTAGCATATATATCAATAAAAAAAACAAGAAACAATAAAAATGAAGATCTTTTTTTTTTCGTTTATATTCATACAAAGACATTCGATAAAATAAATGAGCAATAAGAAGAAAAAAAAAGTTTTCTCTCCTGTCATTTCTTATTATGATTATTCTATTAAATTGATGATATTGAATAGCTAAAATAATTGAATTATTTTTATTCAAGTTGTCTATATAGACTATTTGATTAACAAATTATTTCGATAGAATTTTTCCCTATGAAAGAATGAAATATTTATATATCGTTTCGCGACAAACAGAATAAGATGTTCAATTATTTTTACCTTTAATTCTGCTTCTATTTTTCCTGTTGATGAAGAAGTAGGTGTATTATGTTTTACAATTCGTCTACCGGAATTTTTCATTTTAATATTATTAATGATAGGTACAGTTAAAGATGGCATAGTGAATTAATATTAAGAGAAAATGAACGTATGATATTAAATGACTCCACTGTATATAATCAAAAAAAAAGTGTCTCTTGAGATATTCTCTCACTTTTCTCTTTTTTTTTTTTTGTTCTAAGTAAACATATCACTCGACCCTTTTCTCTTCCGTGATATGTTTGTGTTGTGCAGAACAATGGTATTGTCATTGTGAAATGAGATAGCGGAAGTGTATGTTTGTCACACATAAAACACGAGACAACATTGAAGTTGTACGAGAGCAGATGCTCTCTTCTTATTGATCACATCGTTTGTCTGGGTAAATAAAGAGACATTGAGTTCATGATATATAAAACAACTTATAAAATATTTTTTATTTAGATAGTTGAAAATTTTTCAATAGATTTTATAATATTTAATAAAAAATTTTATTTCCTATGAAATTATTTTATGTTAATCATTTCCTTTTTTCCTGATATATTATCAAAAGAATAGAAAAAAAAATTTTTTTGTAAATCATTTTTTTACCTCATTCTCGTCGGCAGGCATTGTTTGTGTATATAAGAAGTATATGAATATATATCTGAAGAATAAATATAATGTATTTCTTCTATTCATATTTTACAAAAAAAAAAAACAACGACAAAAACAAATAATTATAATCAATCATAGACAAATTGAGAATATGTATTGACATATGTGTCTTCTTCTTTTTTTCTGTTGTGTTTCCTCACTCCAAATACTAGATATTAGGAATGAGTTATTAGATGTTGATCAACAATAACGAAAGTCAATGATGTCATTTGCTAGTAGAAAAACATCAATATTTAGAATACATATAGAATATTGCGATATCTTACTAATAATTTGTTGTGTGTGTGTCAACAACATCTATTGACATTTAACTGATGGCAAAACAGAAGATCTTTGCCTTATGATATATAAGTTCAAATATATATATCAATGTTAACAGTATTCACAACATGGGTCAACTGTTCTGTTTTTGCCGATCTCATAAAAATGATGCAGATGATAGAATGAGAGAAATCGAGAGAGAAAAAGCAAGAATAAGGAGAAAAAATTGAGAAGATGAGATGCTACAGCAATAGTAGAATACTATGATTATTTGTTTCAGCTGCTGTTTTATCTCTTTCCTGCTGACTTCGACTTCTCCTTGTGCTGAATATATATATATATATGTTGGAATGAAGATATTCTCAGAACAAAAAAAGAAGAAGAACAGGGCAAACCAAATAAGACAAGAAAAGATATTTGTCGTTGTTAGAACAAGAACGATAAAGAAAAGAATATAAATATAGGAACATCAACAATATCTTCGTACAATGTTTAGTACGAGCTCGTTTATCTTCTTCTCTTGTTTTTTTTCTCTGCTTTGAACTAAGCGACTAAAATGAATCTATGAATTCGAAATAATTGATTGTTTTCTTTTTTCTTGTCTTAAAATTTAAAAGTATTAGATCTAATCAAAATACAATCAATTTTCATATTGATAAAATATGTTGAATACGGATTCAATAATTATATTATACATCTTGTTAATCAAGCATACTTCATATATGAGAGGATTTATTTTGAAGATAAATAACTTGTTATTATAGAGTTGAAGTTGTTTTAGTGGGTCTAATATATTACACATATAAAATAACCCGTACTCTATATGTATTAGATGTTTCTTCTCTTTTCTTTCCATAGATTTCATGAATAATATTGTAAAAGATATATATATACAGTAGGCGAGATAACTACGTAATAGAAAAGGAAAGATGGAATAGAGCGTGATAGCTAAATGTCGACAAGCTGTCATGGATAGATCACGATCGATATTGTTTAGTTTCAAGACCGCATACACAAATCATAATTATCAGAATCAAAAAAAAAAAAGAAAAATCTTCTTTGTATAAAACCACATCTCAATTCAATAGAAAAGTATATTGTATAAATTATTTTTTTTTGAGATAATTTTCAATTTCAATTTATTTAATAGAATTAAATTCATTATTTTTATGTTAAGTTTCATTACGAATAACTTTTAAAATTTGTTTAATCGATTTATACAATTCAATAATTTTAATATCTTCATTTTCTGATATATAGATATATAGTGTTAATTCTATGTACATTGAGTTTCTCTTTATTAATGAATAATACTATTGTTTAGCCTTATTGGTTCGATTTGATTGCGGTTACATTAATCTTATGACTGTCACAAACGTATCAAAACATGATTTCATTTAGTTTATTCGCCGATAAAAAAAATGACCTAAGGCGATATTTTGATTGTTGACACTTCAGTACGATTAGGTATGATGAAAGATGACAGGCTTGAAAGGAGTATTTATATACTGGGTATACGAGAAGTTTTGCGACATTTAGTATTTTTCAAATATCTCAGCAGAGATCAATCGTATAATTTTGATTCTTTTTTTAAAAGATGTATCATGAAAAACTCTACAAAACTGTAAGAACAAATCCCTATTGACTTCCTCAGATAATGTCTCCGATACTCAAAAAGAACAGGTCACATGACGATGTTATGTTCCACCGTAATTAGTATAACAAAAATATTTGGAAAACTTCTTTTTTATTTTGTAAATATCTCAGCTTGGGAAAATGATAACGTCTTGATCTTTTTTTTTTTCAAAGATGCGCCACCGAACGCTCTACCAAACCTGTATGAGCAAGTTTCTATTGCAAAACAAAAATGTCTTCGAAATACTTAATACCGTGGGATATAGGACCATCATCTGACCTATTCATTTTGAATATCGGAGACACCATCAGAGCAAGTCAATAGGGATTTGTTCTTATAATTTTTGTAGAGCTTTTCATGATGCACTTTTTAAAAAAAGAATCAAGATTACACGATTGATTTCTGTTGAGATATTTGAAAAATACTAAATGTCCCAAAACTTCTGGTACACCCGGTATATATATATTACTGCAAAAATTAGTCACTAATCATGAAAACTATCTTTTTTCTTCTTTTGTTTTAGAATAATAATCATATTTATTTTCAGCATTTAATAAGTAAAATATTGCACAAGTATTATTTCGATATTAATAACAATAAACCTTTTTATATAAATAATCCCTCAACAGTTGTACGTCTACAACAATTAATTATTTTCTTTGCCGGCGAGATTAAAAAATCTTATTTATTTTATTTTAGTTAACTTATGTTCGTGATATTTTTCATATATTGATTAATATTCTTTTCCTTCTTATTTATTTAGTTGATTCTTTTGCTTTTTTTTGGAAGAACAGAATAAACCAACATTTTTCATTGGGTTTTTATCACTACTATATTTATATAGTAGAAATTTTTAAATTTGTTTGACTATAGTTCGAAGTCGGATATTTCGATAGTCTTATCACAGATTAACACACTTAACTTAAGACTTCTTTTCAGAAAACTCGATTTTCGTCAAAAAATGATTTTTTGAGATAAATATATGAACATGTTGCCTAGTGTATGAGTTTATAAATATAGTTTTGATTCTCGAAAGTTTTATGAATAATCTTTGGAATTACCTGGATAAATAATGATATCTAGAGCAATCAGTAAAATTTTTTTGTAGAGTTAGATCTGCAGAACAAAAACAAGTATTTTTCAGAAGCAATCAAATCTTGCGCATCTTAGAGACACACTTTTGAGATCTATAGGGCAATTCAAAAGTAACTGGACAGTCTTTGACTACGAATAAATTTTGATAAGAATAATATAGAGAGCTGTGATTTTTACCGTTCAAAAGAGGAGATGAAGACGCATCGAATTGTATATTATAGGTTTTTCTAAAATGTTTTCTAGAGTTTTCTTAATCAATTTTCTAAAAAAAATTGCCGGAAAAATGGTTTCTTATAAAATAAAAAAAACGCAAAAAAAAGTGATTTTTTTTCACAAAAATTAACAGAAAAATCAGTTCAGAATTTCGAGTAGAATATCTATAACTTCTGAAGGAGTAACTTTCAGAATTCTGGTCTTTGCACAGTTTTATAGATTTTTGAGTAGCAGTTCGAATGCACATCTGATCATAAAAAGATTCAGTGTAGTCACCTTACGAAGTACGTTGATTTTCAAAAACGTCGATTTAAGTCCTTGAAAAAACTAGGTCAACTTATCTTATTTCATACAGTTCGATGCGTCTTCATCTCCTCTTTCAAACGATGAAAACCACAGCTCTCTATCTTGTTCTTATCAAAAGTTATTCGCAATCAAAGACTTCTGGGTTACTTTTGGACCACCCTGTACAATGACATGCGAGTATAGGTATAAATCTTTTCTTTATCCACATCCACACAAAAGTAACAATAGGTTTTTTGTAAACGAAAAATTGAAAAATAAATGAAAAAAGAACAGGCACAATTTTTAGGCAGATTTTCAGTGTATTATAATTGAATATAATCTTTATTATAATCGTGACTTTTGGCAAATGAGAATTTAAATGATGAAAATAAGACGACAACTGTCATACTTAATTCATATAATTTTTCACTGAAGGATATTTCTTATTCATAATAACTTCTAATTTTTTTTCTTCCATTTTTCAATTTAATTTCATTGATCTTTCTTACAAAAAATAAATATTATTTAGAAAATGAAATATACAAATATATTTTTTTTATTAAACAATAAAAAACAAAACTTCTTTTGTATTAAAATAACAATTTGATAATAAAATTTAATTTACGAAATTCACTCATCAGTTTTAGATGAATAATTAATTAATATTCGATTTTCATAATCTTTGATTTCTTCAATTGTATAACCAGATCCATCAATAATACCAAAAGTATTATTAAGTTTATCTAATTTATCTTCACCAATTATTTTAAATACTTCATAAAGTTGACATAATGTTCGGTAACGATGAAAATATTCTAAACAGTCTTGATCATCTTGTGGCCATCGTTCATCAAGTTCATGTATACTAACAAGACTCATTGGACAACGACCTTCATGTTGTTCCCAATCTTGATTATGTGCTGAGAAAGTTGGTTCAACATTATCATCTACTAAACATTCTTCTTCTTTCATTCCACATAAATAACACCAACTAAGTCCACATCGTTCACAAACCATATGTGTACAACCATCATCTTTTATACCTCTTAATTGACAATGAGGACAATGTTGTTGAGATCCAGATTCAGTAGCTTTTTCAATCATTTCTTTATATGAATGAAGTTCAATACATTGAGAACGATGTATTGATTCATCATTGTCATCTTTTATTGCATGAAGACATATTAAACATGATCGTTTACCACAAGATGGATGTTGACAAGTGAAAAAATATAGAGGACATGCATCAGTTGTATGAATTTCAAGATAAGGACAAAATGGACCTATTAAAAATAATATAATTTATTTTCTAAAAAAAATATCTTATTAAAATACATACATTGTGCTAATTTTTCATTTTTCTCAAGACAATCTTTTGACCAAAATAATGGAAGAACACATGCTATAAATTGTTCATAATGTTTTTGTTTTATAATTATTTGATCAATGTGTGTTATATCGAATGATTGTTGACATGCACCACATGATAATGGATAATTTAGAGTAGGATGACCAAACATTATTTCAAACATAAGATTTATACATGCATTACAAGTAAATTTGTCACATATTCTATTGGTACATGTAAGTTTAGTATCATCATCGTTAATAGTTGCTTCGCATATACCACATGTCATTATGATAGGTTTCTCTGATGATGGCGTCGCCTCTGGGGTAGGCGATGATATATTTTGATCTTCGGTTACGCTAGACATTGTGTTTTCATATAGTCACAAAAATTAAAACAAAAAAATACAAAGTGCAACAGACTAAATGTTTCTATAAGAACATATAAGTTTTCGTTTTATTTTTCCACTGCAAATCAAGAGTATTTATATGGTTTAGACTTTGACCGAATTTCATCATTTTTTTCGAATACAATCAATGCTTTATCCTTTTTAGGTGATGCAAAATAAAGTTAAGTGTCACTATGAATCACACGTAGAATTTCCATGTTATGACGCAATTACGTATGCAATTACTTCATAAACATACAAAAAAATAAGCCACAATTATTGCGCTGAGCTGCATCATACCTTGACGACTTATAAAAAAAAGAACATGAAAAAACAAAGTGATGACTACATGTATCATGTTTTAGTGATTCATATTTTCGGTGTATATAGTTGAGATAATAATTTTATGAATAATGTCATTGATGAAAAAAACCTGCTACAAGTTTTAAAAAGAAATTTTATACAAAAAAAAGAATATTCTACTGTTATTTACTAGTAGTTTTTTTGTTTTTATAAAAAACCGAGATGAATAAATTGCTAATTCATTGTTTTTATTCTTAAGGATGATGATCGTTGTCCAATATTACCAGATCATATCTATATGATAATAACTTTTGAAAGATTTTAAATAGATTTTTTATGATACTTCAGATGAAGATGATGAAAAATGAACTCTTCTATTTTTAAGACCATGAATTTTAATTGAGTAGTTGTCAAAAATTAGTTGATGATACATTGAACGAAAGAGAGACAAATGATCATTGTTTATTGATCTTATTTACATGCATAAGTTGTTATATTCAGGCCTCAGTCAACTTTAGCGTTGATTGTTACCTAAAAACTATTGCTGCTTTTCTTTACTACACATTCAATGAATCATAATTTCTATATGAAATGGTACTTAATCTATTATTCTCTCGACTAAAAGGAAAGTCACGCAAAATATAATGAGTTCGCATGCTTGCACGTGCAAAATCACGTGTACACATATACACTATTGGCCAAAAATATTCTCCCTCCCCCTTGGATCTTAGTCCCTATGAGGCGTTAAACGTCTGGAAAATCTTCTGCAGGTAGTTCACAGATAATATAGGTCAGAAGTAACATCTCTGCCAGAATCATTTAAGCTAAAACAGAGTTATAATAGGTGTAGGGGTGGCACTTTATCTTTACTTTACCAAATAAAGTAAAATATTCGAACTTTACTTTATTCAGTAAAGTAAAGTAGATATACTTTACCCAAAAAGTAAAGTAAAGTAGATATACTTTACCCAAAAAGTAAAGTAAAGTAAAGTGAAAAAAAAATGAAGTTGCATTCTTTATATTTTTTGGCAATTTCCTAGTTCAGGATCACGTATAAGTGATCTTACTTAGAACGTATCAAAGTTTATTCAATATTGTTTCATGTTAAAACTAGTATGAAAATAATAAGAAAAGCTGAAAAAGCTCAATTTTTTATGCACATACATGAAAAATATTGTTTGGTTAACTTTATCTCACTTTATTTTCCACATTTATACTATAGTATTTCACTTTACTCTACTTTACTTTACTTTACTTTACTTTTTCAAAGTAAAATAAAGATAAAGTGCCACCCTCTAGTTGGCAATGGAGTTCAGCAGAGGTAGATATATGGCTGAAGATTTTTGTATTGCATATTATAGCAGCACTCGGTCATATCCTAATAATGCTAGAAAAATAAAGAATTGCACCTTTGCTTGCGAAATCAAAACGAATGTAGTCATGATGGAATCCATATAAAGTAGATGTTTATTTATTACAATTGAATATCAATTTTCTTCGCTGTGAGAAAGAAGTGAAGTCCTCGCTCTCTTTATTAAAAAGAAACAATGCAGTTGGCACAATATTTGCATAATCACGATCGATTTTTTTTTCTTTTGCATCCATTCATTGCTAGTGAAAAACAAGCAGACAACTACGATTCTTGCTCACGCAGATAAGTGCAAGTAAGGTTCTAGTACTACATGTAACATGAGAAGGAATATTCAATGCAACACATAATGGCAAGATCTTGTTTTCTCTATTTGAAAATTCACTTCAAGCGAGCATGAAAAGATATAGTACTCATGAAATGAAATCGTGTTAGAAATTCTATCCGTTTATTGTTCAGAGAGTAATCCCATGGTATTGTTTTTTTTATAGCATCTTTTTCTAGATATTGCAATAGAAATGAATCGACAGCATCAATCACGAGGCCGCTCTAACGTCAGACAATCGACCTATACAAACAGTAATCATCAAAAGACTCCAATGTCTGTGGCATCCAAGTCAAAGGAGAGAGAAAAATTTGTCTCCAATATAAGTGTCATTGCATTGGATACACGCCAGAATCGTGAACCTATCATATTCGTATGGTTAGATTTGCAATCACAATCAACCCCTACTCTTATCGGTTCATTTCGAACAATTAATGATTTTGTTCAAACTTACACTGATGTATCAACTTGCTTGGAAACATTGCAAGTCGCAAAGGACAAGATCTTTCTCATAACGTCGTCGAGTAATGAAGAACTTATCCAAAAATTGCATGTTATCGACAGCATCGAAGCCATCTTTGTGCTTGACTCGAAGGCAATTCCTATGAGAAACGAATATCCAAAACTTCTTGGAGTTTTCAAGCAACACGAAAAACTCACTGTAATGCTCAAGCAGATGATCGATGTATTTCAACAGATCCAACTAGAAACATTTATATTTGAAGAAGAAAATGAATTTCTCTGGATACAACTGTGGAAAGACGAGGTAATGAATCCGTGCTACATACTTCTATCGAAACTTGTATGAGAGATAATTGTATTTTTTAGATGATAGGTGAAAACACATCGACTTATAGCAAAAATGATTTTCTCCAAATGGCTCGAATCTATTATCGAAACAATCCACGACGAGTAAGATTTGTCGATAATTTTGACCGAGTATATCGTCCTGAAGATGCTTTACGTTGCTGCTTCCGTACTCCCTTTCCTTCGAACCTTCTACGACATGCATTCATGTTCCACGATTTCGAACAACTTTCTTGCTGTCGATTTCTCATTGCTGATGCCTCACATATTATACAGAAAGCACCTAAGCATACTGAACAACGTCAACTCTATCGTGTCATGAAATTATCAAATAAAGTCGTCGATAGTTTCGAAAGACATGTAGGTAAATTAGTACGGACAAGTGGCTTTTTTTCTTGTGCGAAATCAAGAACGATCGCCTTAGAGTTAGCCTCACATCCTGGTTATCGATCCGATCTTTCATCTGTTCTGTTTGAGATCGAATGTGATAAATCAACTAAATTCGCCGATTTAACAACAGCAACTCGTTCACTCATGGCTATCTTCGATGTTGGTATGGTATTTCGTATCATCTGCTTCAATCGAGATACGATGTTCGTGATTAAAATGGAAACAGCGTTCGAAGAAGGAAAACGATTAGCACGACAGTACAGAGGCAGTCATAAAGCCTTGACTGTAAAAACAATGTTAGATCAATTAATTATTCAACCAAGACCACCATCACCTCCACCATGCTCGTTAGGAAATGTCTTAGTAAGGTACAACTTATGATTGAGTTATTGTGTATTAGGACAGAATGTTGTACAAAAATCGTTTTAGTGAACCCAAATCAGCCAAGGATGAGTTAGAAGCCGAAGACTACGTAAAAAATGATCAAATCGACTCAGCAATAGCTATTTATCAGCGCATCCATCCTGTTTCGGTGTCTATACTTCTTCGACTTGGGCAATTGTATGCCGATAAAAAAGGAGATTACGGTAATGCCTTGTATTATTATATTCAAGCACTCAGAATACAAGAAAAGGTAAATGATTCAACGAAATTAGTAGAATCAAAAGTGGGGAATATCATGAAAGAAGCTAACTATCTAGTCGCATTGCTTTGTTCAAAGTTCATCCGATCCCCTATGAGGCTAGTCTGTGAGATTCAACTCGACGAATATAAGTGAGATCAGAAATGAGAACTTCTCTTTTCATGACCATTTTCATTATTTTCTCTGTGTCATTTAGTAAGTGAGGACGGAGAGATCTATCTATACACATAAGGTACACAGAACATGCTTTTTTCTCATTGACATTTTTTCCTCTTTCATTTTTCAGACTGCTGAAGACATGTCGGACACACTAACTCGAATCGCTTCTGTTCATTATGAACGTCGTGAATTTGACTTGGCTTTAGCCTACCATACTTCTGCACTTCAACTATGTGAATCAGTTAATCCATTAAATTTGGCTTCGATTGCCACTAATCTAGTCGGTATTGCCAACGCTCATCGAGCTAAAAACGAACTTTCAGAAGCACTTGATTATGCCAAACGAGCATTGACTATACGTGAATCGATTGAACCTATTGACGAAGCTAGTGTTGGCAAAAGTTTAGGGACACTTGCCAATATTTATCTTGAATTGGGTGACAATACTGAGGCATTACAAGCCGGAATGCGTGCATTTGATATTTTTCAGCGTATTCTTCCAAGTAACTCACCTGAATCAGCTGGTTTACTCAATAATTTGGGTGCAATTAAGCTAAGGCAAGGTGATATAGCTGAAGCTCAACAATATTTTGAACAATCGATTCGTATTTATCGGCAAATACTTCCTGAATCACATCCATATATCGCTAAATTGAAGAACAACATTGAATTTGTCAGTCGAATGCAGCAAACAGAGCTCGAAAACTAATGGCTCCTGCCAAGAATATGAATATAATCGGGGATCGATTAAATAAAATTCAACATAAGATCAACAAAGAATTCTTCAATGAAGTTTTCTAATTCGTCTATATTTTCTTCAGTTTCTCAGTTAGAGATGTACTAAATGAAATTTCATCCTTCTAACACCAGAGATATCAGGGAGATAGACCGGTAGTTGGGTTCTCTTCGAATATGTGAGTGAGTGTGGGTGTGGGTGCACGTGGAACAGTTGACACCCACACCTATCAAAATTCTAAATTGTTTAAAGACAAAAATGACGTCTGTCTAAATTTTCTTACGTGGTTCACGATGTAAAAGTTATCATTTTTCTTATAAAAGAAACATGTTTTAATTACACTATATTTGGTGTAACCAATACGTATTTGATCATAAATACCTTTTTGATAATCAAAGAATTGTGTTTCCTTTGAAAAAAAAATGAGAATAGAATTTTATTTAATATAATTTCTTACATCATTATTTTATTTTTAACCATAAAACCTTTGTGAATCATCATAAAGTCAAAAACTGTTATTAAATGTTCACCTTTGGTTTTGTATTTCGAAGAATATACATAATGAACAAATGGCATAAATGGGTATGCGTTCATCTAAAACAAATGATTATTGCATCAAAAAACAGTTCATGAATATAAAATTATTGAAATAAAATGATCATGATAAAAGCTGAACTTAAATCATCTTCTTCATCATTTGATATTTCATCCGTTAATCCTTTCAATCCCGACATTTTCTCTCGTTCTATACAAAGTTGAAGAAAATCTAGATTTCTCTTTCTCATGTATTCTCATTTAGATAATTAGCTGCACACGAATTCTAACTACACTAGTTCAGTGCGAAAAAAAATATTTTCGTAGCGAAGAATACGCACGCTTCTTTGAACACACATATGATACGTATCATGTATGAAGGCGACAGAAGGCAAAATTTCTATATTACGATATGCATATCATCCCGTAGATGACATGCGGGATTGAAAGGGTTAATCAGATGAAATCTTCATCATCAAGTGTAGATATTAGACACATTTGAAAAAAAATTTGTGGACGAAATACAAAAACTGCAAGAAACAGAAGTACGTAGTACACAAAGCTTTGTATTGGTCATGATTTGTTAGTTTCGAAACCGCCATTTTGTCAATAGAGATCATTATTGGTTTCTTTTTATAAATTCGTTAAATCGAATTTATTTGAAAGTCATAGGTAGGCGACTCCGAGACTCAATGTGACGGTGCTTTTTTAATATTTTCATATAAAGTTGATGCCACTCTTTCCAAAACTGAAAACGACAGGTCTCTAGCTGCTTCCTAGCTGGAGTTATTCAATTTACAACGGAGTGCACTGTTCATTGAAATGGATATTAGTTCATCTTCGACGTCTTTTTCGACCTTTACATATCAGTCTATGTAGTAGATATCGACATGATTCAACTAGTAGATAATTTTATATTTTTTATTGTGTATGTCTAAAAAAACGGGGTAGACTAGAATCATCTGGTTTTCATCAGATTACAATCTATATAGTCTCTAGTGTACTAGTAAAACATTTCAGATCAATCCATTGATCTCTTTAGTTTTTATTAATGATACAATCACAATCTGTCGTTTTTCATTCTTTCAAAAGCTCGTTATAAGTTGGAATTTTCGTTATAGTACATAATTCAATAGAACACCTTGCACTCTACATAATTCCCATAATATTTACCTAATTTTATTGTTTAATGCATTATTAGCAAGAGCAGTACAAGTTTTGTGAGATATTCTATTTTAATAGAAATTTCATGTTGAAAAATTGTCGTATTCGTCTTCAATGTATACACCAATCATAGGCAGACGTTCTTATACTGTCTTATTCATGTATCGAAGGAGGTAAAAGTTGTTTTAGCAGTATGGATTTGTAGAGAATCTTTTTCCGGTGGAAGAGTAAAAAGCTTATCGTAGTCCTATGTCGATAGAAAATGAAATTTAGAACAATGAGCTATGTTAAGTTTGGTTTGATACATTCTTATTTAAGGACTACAATAAACTTTTTTTACTCCTGCTATTTCTAGCGTAACAGAGGCAAATAACTGAAGAAGTATAATTGATTTTGATTTTAAACATACGAGTTTCACACAAAAAAAACATTTCCTACAAATTCGTTATCTTCTTTGATTTATGAATAAGACAATACAAGCACGTCTATCTGCGTATTTTCTGACTTTCTGTTCTCAAGATCATCACAACAGGAAATGATTACTTTTGACGTGTTTGTCTAGTAAGTAAAAAAGAAAAAGAAAATCCCCAAAGGTCTACACAAATGCTGTGCTTCGCACGGTAAAAACAAACTCCGGAGAGAGAACCAAAACAAGAGACATTCGTCGACTGAATTCATCAAAAAATATGTAGCTAAATTTTTTCAAGCGAATAAATTTTTAAATAATTTCTTCTAGACAAGAACAAAGACTACAATCCTGACTATCACTGAAGCCAATGGAAAAGAAATAACGAACTATTGTATCTCTGCTAAATATTCATTTTATATCTTTGCAATCTTTCATAACATCTCCTTTCCCCGTCCCCACAGAATAGAAGCCCAGTTCTGAGGTTATAACTTTACAGACACATTAGAAGCCTACTCTATCTAAAATGAGCACAAAATAGACAAGTTACCAAATTGGATAAATTAGTTCACTGATTCTCACTGTTTAATTGTAGCTGAGTTAATGCGCCTAATTTTCTTTGTGTTGCATATTTTTTTATCCGCAGACAAATGAACATCTTTCAAGTATTAAAAAATTTGTATGCCTATGTATCAATAAAACATAGCTGTCTAGGAACCATTCAATAGAAATTACGCATGCAATAATACCGTTGTGTTAGGTTTCTTCCTCTTATACGATTATGTACGACATAGAAACGAAATGGTGGAGTTTTTTATTGACTTAGCAGCAGTACGAGCAAATCTTTGATCGAAAGATGAGACATCTGAGAAAGCTGACCTTGACCGATACGAATTACGCAAGAACTTATCAGACTTAAAAATAAATACCATCGTGGGATGGTACAATATCAATTATTATAACATGTATTAGATCTGAATTAACTATCTCTCAAGAAATGGGAGATCCTTATTGTGTAATCACAGGTTTATTTCATATCTCTGTCGCGATAATTGAAATATATCTTTTTTCGTATCTGAACCATGCATCGGCTGCCATGACGAAATCGTGTACGGGAACTATATCGGTATAGGTCTAATAGAAACCTCTTTTAAATTCCTTCAAAACTTTACATGTTCAAAATCAATATATGATGCTAAACGGAGTTTTTCGTATCTGCAGCAAGATCCACGAAATGCTGAAGATAGATGAGTGTGTGAATGCGGAACGCTGTATAAATAATATACTACTCTATCGTTTTAATAATATACAATCGAACAAGAATTGGCAACCAGTTTTCGGCTCCTTAGAAGCTATAATAGCTACTCTGAAGGTTGTCAGACAACTTAATAATTTCGATTTGTAATTTTGTGGAACTCACATATTTTCGAAGAAAATAGTGAGTGTAAGTTTCAAGTCAAAGCTTTTATGACTCCCCCCATTATAGACACCCACATTACAGACATCCCTCATTACAGACACTTCTCCATTACAAGTAGCTCCCTATTACAGGTAGGCGCCATATCATAAATGGTTTGTAATCGTTATACTTCATCTAAAGCTTCGCTGCAAACGTATATCTATAAAACTACAGCAATAACATTTAACAAAATTTGCAGTAAAATAGTTTCTAGTATTTATGGATATGTAAGTTCCACACTCTAGCACCAAAGAGACTGCGCTGAAAAGCTTTTTAAGACCTTATGTGTCTGTAAGCTAATTAAATCTTCACGGCAACATGAAAAAAAGTTGATCACAATAGAAGCCCATATCCAAACTCATAATTTTCAAAATACATTAGAATCCCAGTGGGTTTCTATTGTGTGGGCGGGTTTACTAATAGACATGAATAGTCAATATTCATATTAACATTATTTCTTCTGTTGCAATTTTATTTTAATATTTCTTTGATATTATATAGAACAGGTTTGAAAAGAACATAAAAAGCAAAAGGACAATATAATATTTAGACTAATCTTGTCAAAACTTTTTATAGAGTGCAAAGTTAAAAAACGAAAAAAGAAATAAGGTATCAAGTGAACAACTACAAATTAAATCAAAGAAGATAGAAAAAGCACATAATCAAAAAGAAACACCTAGTATTATGGTTGGTAAAGCGTACATATTCAAGTTTATATTCATTAACTTGATAATTTAAATTTTTTAACGTTGACGAACTGAACTAGCACGGATGGTTGAAGCTGCACGTATTCCTGTACTTGTTTCACGAAATTCATGCTAGATTAAAATATGACAAGTATTTTTTTTTGTATTTAAATAAAAGAAAAATTAACTTACAGTTTCCGTAGTACGACCTACACTAATCGATGATCGATTTTTAGCACGTAATTTTCCAAGTTGATTTTCAGCTGAATCAGCACGTTCAGCTGATTCTTCTACAAAAGGTAATTAAATCGAATGTTGAGATTCTCTTTTTTTACTAATAAACTTACCAAGTTCTGTTTGAACTTTACGAAATTTAGTCAAATTAAGTGCAGCGATTTCCTCTGAAAATGAAAATGGTTTTTTTTTGCATATGAAAACAATGAAACTTCATTTACCAGCTTCTTCGACTTGACGTTTATAAACTTTAACCTTCGATTGTAATTTTTCCGTAAGATCTTGTAAACGTACATGATTCTTACGATCTTCTTCAGTTTGAAATACAAGTTCTTTCAAACGTCGATCATTTTTACGTAATTCTTTAAGTGTTTCTTGATGACGATTTTGTTCTAATTCATTTTCAGTTTCTAATTCATGAATCTAAACAAAATCAAGAAAAATATTTTTTTGCTTTTTTTAATAAATTTTCTTACGCGTTGTTCAAGTT